GTGCCCTTTCCTTGGGCTGGATGTCAGTTAACAATTATAAAAAAATACTAAAGCTCCCTGAACACTGCACACATATGTTGTGAATAGGTACCTGATCAGTACCAGGTACCGGGTCTAGTACCATTGACTAGAACTAATAAACACAAAAGTATTTTGTATCACTTTCTATCTGTTGTCTTTTGTCTCTTTCAGTCTTAGCAGCAGTGCAGGTCTTCTCCCAGCTGGAGTTAAAAAATAGTCGATCAGGAACCTCCAAGCTCTGAACCACACCAGCTCAGCAGAGCTGTAGTGAGGTCCGCTATGCTAAAAGGTCAGGCCTCCGGCTGAGCCAGAGTTCAGCTCTACCACTGTTCACGGGGATCACATCACCTTGCAACATGCTTGATGAGCCCCTACATCCATCATCAAAGTAGATTCTTTCATTTATGAACTGAGCAGTTTCGGCTGCACAGAACCAAGTCTATTCAGAGTTGATCTGACTACTGGATTTATTCTCTCACTTGCTGTTTTTTTTCATTGAAAATGCACAAACATGACATACTCACTGGAGACTGAAAACATTCTAAAAAAGGACAGAAACATATTAAATTCCAAACAACGTTAAAACAACAGTAAGGATTGAATATTAAACCTACTGTGCCTGTGATACATATTTATAGCCCAATGCATATGGACCAGCTAGATTTCAATCTCTCATAGTGTGTAAAGGAGTCATATGGGGGATCTCTCAAGGATCATGTGATTTAATACTCTTGAGATCCCCAATCATTTTAGAAAAAAGAGATGTGGCTACATCAGCAGTTATTTTAAACTTGCATTTGAAAAACATTTTCTGAAATCACACGGATGTGTTATAAGATGTCATGAGATTAATAAGATCTTTAACAAATATTACATTATTTTGGAGGTTTGGTATCCTGCATTATTATACAGTAAAAAAAAAGTTTCATTTGTTTCATTTCAATTATTCATTTAAATGTCCAAACCGCAACTCCTTAAGAGCTAAAGTAGCTCAGAAATGCTGCCTTGGAGTGGCAGGGATGTGTGGATCTGCATAGTTTATGGCTCAGGCTAATTTCATGAGACTGAAGCTACAGTACAAGGCTTTTTTTACTTAGGTATAATTATTCTGAAAATATATAGTTGTGAAAAGGCATTCAGGGTTTAAATTTTCAGCAGGAAAAAATTCTAGAGAGAAATCTCCAAAACTCTGCAGGTTTGCAGAGAGTGGGAGGGAATCAGAAGTGACCAGGAGAACACAGCAGTGAGATTACATAAATCCCCTTCGTCACAGACAAAGACCCAGATGGGGTGTATCTGCCAATTCACTGAGATTCACAGATACATGATCAAAGTGGTACCATGTGGCAGCAGTCATGACTGTCTTCATTTGAAAATAAAGACGCTAGTGGGGAAAATGAAAATTACCTCTCTTAAAACTAACAAATGTTCCTCTAATCCCCATGAAACTCAGAGATAGAGGAAATAGTGGGAATTAAAAATGCAAACTGTGAGCACTGGAACGTAAGAAAGGCTACAAACCTTTGCTAGAGTGATGCCTATGCTTATTTCACATAAGGGTGTGTAACAACAAAATAATCTCCCTAATTCCAAATATAACATAATAATATAGGTATTTATTTCAGTCTTGGGGGTGTCGGTATTTGAAGTTACTTTCATCTTAATAAAACATCACTAAATTATTCACTGATAATTCTTCTCCACTATTTATCTTCTGTACACTGTACACTATTCCCTTATCCTATAGAACAGCTGGTCAGTATTTCCCCGTTTGGAAAGTCAGCGTCTCATGGTGGCTTTTGTTTTGTGTGGCAACGAGGTCCTTTTAACCTCTTCAATGCGTAAGCCACTGCTGGTTTGATTCAGTCCCATGCATTCTCACATGCACATACAGCTGCATATGTACAAAACTGCTCTACTTGGCACCAGTTGCAAAGATTAAAGCAGAACATTTGAGCTCATTTGTAATTAAATATAATAGCAATTCAGCGGCTGAGTAATGCAATACGTACTCTGTGATTAGTGTCCCCAAGATACAGATTTACTGAAGAGCTTCCACGGCAGCAGGGAAGTGCATCTCTGCCTGCATGCAGGTGTAGTAACATGACTGTCTCAAGACCAAACTGTATCGATCTTCTCAAGAGCATAATATATTCACAGCATTACTCTGAAATATCACCCTGCAGTATTTAGAGGAGGCTGCAAGATGACTTTGACATCTTAAACCAAGAGTGTGAAGCACATTCACATAAACACTTTGCTGTAGCTTGAAGAGAATTAGAGCACTTCATCCTATATATAAAGAGAGAGAGAAATAGCTCTACTAAAGGCTAGAAGCAGGCATCATTGAAAGCTAATTAACATAGACTACTGGCTTGCACTGCAGGTGTAGCTGAAACTGGGTTGAAAAATCTTTGCATAAAACTATACTGCAGGAATCTGTCAAAATGCCAGAGTACTAGTATATTTAATGTTTTGTTTTTGTAATTAATCTGTAACATTATATATTTTGAAAATATCATTGGGTAAAAGGAAATTGGTACAGGAGCTGCTCTTATTTTAGAGAGTATTTCCTTTATGCTACAGACACAGCAACACTATTAAAACACAGCAGATGTGTAATGGCATTCCAAACCAGCTCTGCTGGTAGGTATTCATGTGACAACTTTCAATGTCTGACTGCGAACATAAGCCTTAAAATGTTTTCACACTAAGAAAAACGATGCTGTTGTAGACGGAAGTCAGGAAACTATTTTATCAAAGAGCTGCCTATTCACAGCATATAACAGACATAATAAAAACCTCTGTTAATAATGTTACTGTTCTGGAAAAGTTTCAGTCCCAGCAGATAATAAAAATGCTGAAGAGCCAGGGCTCTGCATAACGTACAGTAGGTACTTTTAGTACCTTCAATGGTTCAGATTAAAATGAATTCATGCATGTTTAATTCCTCAGTATTTCCCTAACATCATATCCCTTTGTTGTATAGCCTAATATAGTGATCATTAAAACATTTCCTCCTACATAGAATATTACTCCCTTGGATTCTACATCATGACCTATTAACTACAGTATAAATAAAACATTGCTATTCAGTTAGATATGACACGCAATTTAACTGGAAAACATTTAGAGCTATTTTTGTTTTGCATTAGCTTTTTGTGCACAAAAAGAACTACATGGCTCACCTCACTGTACTGTATCTTACAAGCAAGCTAGGAACAAGAAGGTATTTCCCAAAAGACACACTGCCTTCTAGTTACCTAAGAAAGAGGTACCATCCTGACACCGTCCTGACGCTCAGATTAATCATCTTGACACCTAGTCTGTGTTAAACAAAGAGAATCTGTAAAATGAAACAACAAAAAACCTTTTACAACACATCTGGTACAACTGGCTAGGGACTGCGAGCTCCAAGTATAAACACACTCAAGTCAACCTTCGCAAGAAAATTAAATTCAAGTTTTTGTAAAAGATAATGCCATATGTTTCTTTTTTCTTTCTTCCAGTTCAAGTTTTAATAAAGAGTTGAAATACCAGGCTGATAGATATATCTAATGGCAATATCTCAGATTCATGAATTACCAGTCAATTATTTGTCTAGAGTGGCACAGTGGTATACGGTCAGCACTGCTTCCCTTACAAATCTTGAATCGGTTTTTGGACTGGGGCACCAGTGAGCTGTTTGAATGTTCTGCCTGTGTTCTCTTGGATTTTCTTCCAAAGACAGACTGCCTAGGTTCATAGGTGTTTCTACATTCTACCCTGTGTGTGCTCTGCTATAGACTGGTATCCTGTCCAGAGTGAAGTCTGGGCTAGCTTGGTACCCTACGTCCCCTCGTCATCACAACAGACACTTAACACATATTTCTGTATCTCACGGAGTCTTGATAACTATTGCAGCATATAATATAAGTCAATATTATGTTTTGCAACAAAGTCTTTTTTTATCACTTTAACTTTCTGTCATTTTCTATAAACTTGTATCCTCATATCATTTTAACAACACTGCAAACAAGTTTTTTCCTAATTTTGGAGGGTCTTTGTATTAAAAGAGGGTTTTCAAACCATAAAAACCACAACAACAACAACAACAATAATAATAATAATAATAATAATAATAATAATAACAACAATGGTTTAACTGCAAAAGAAAGATTTTCATATTTTTTATGAATGAAATAAAACAGCAGCAAAAAGAGCAATACTGATGTGAATGTTTCTAGAGTGTTTCAACTAATGACAGCCAAAGACTCAGCAGAAAAAAATGTTTTACAAACCTCTTACATTTAATTGTCAGATGTAACCACTGCAATGGCATTTAGAACTGTCACTATTAGCCTACTTACCTGGATTGCCAGAAACATGTCTGTTGGGGGCTTAGACACTTCAAACTAAAACAACTGCACTGTCAGTGTGTGTAACGGCTTTTAATAGCTTCTACTTCTGAATGTGCATCGTCTGATGAGTAGCATGCAGTTTTGCTCACTAGACAATCACCAAAACACCTAAAACACCAGGATCCTCTGCTACTATAACCATCTACCTGTTCACATTGATACACGTTTGCTGTGCCATCCATTCCAAAATCTGAAAGTACACTGATGAAATCAAACCACAATAAAACATTCACACATTCCACAGCATCCCTTTTCTCTCCCGCTGCTCATCACAGATCCTGGATCTTGAAGTTACGGTAATCTCAGTTTCAGTTTCCAGCAACAACAGCACTTACATAAGCATTCAGATCAGAGGTCTGTGGCAGCTTTTCGCAAGTGCACTATTTCCTTGGGTCGTCCACAACTTAGCTCTTCTCAGTCTCAGCTGCTGAATGTCTTTCTGCTACTCTGCTTTCACTCCCATTAATACACACAAATGAGGAACAACATCACCAGATAAGAGTCTTGCTCACTATAGAATGTGTCAGTCTGTCACTGTAAGCAAGCAAAAGAAAGGGACTGAAACCCCTGCGGACTTACCGGTGCAACGTCAGTCTGCTGTCGTGACCATGAAGAAGTACTCGGTGAGTATAAGCCAGCTGCCGATGTGAAGGCACAGCTCTCATTGCACTCTTCTCTGAAGGGATGCTGGAGCTCCTGGAGGTGGTACTTCTCAGTCTAATGACATCTGCTTCACTCTTTAAACTCATTGGCTAACAGGGATGATTCCCATTTATCCAGCCCTGCTGTCTCTGAATGAGACTCTTCTCTTTCTTCACATCACTCCCTTTCTCTTTCCTTGAACTGCTTTGCTTCTCTTTTCTCCTCTCCTTTATTTCTGTATTTCTTTCTCTCTGCCCCCCACTCTGCCACCTTCCCTTTGTTTGTCTCTCCGCCTCTCTCAGCCTGTCTGTGTTCATCACTGTGCTCTTGTTCAGTCCCACACTGTCTCCTCTCCCTTGTCATGACACACTGTGCTCTTTTTTAAAATCTTTTTGCTTCCTGCTTGCTTATTTCAGTCTTTTCAAAATAGCTCCTAGTCTCAGGGAACAGCAGTGTTTAAATGCCTCTGCCTTATTTATTCTCTGGGGACTGTTTTTCTAATTGTTTCTCCCCTAAGTGGTTTTTGCTTTCCAAATTTTTGTCTTTTACGAGCTGTATGATACACAGCCCTGGAGCGATACTGTGGAAGCATTATGCCACACTTATGCCAGCTCATTTTGTCATCAGTTCTCCGAGGACCATTCTGCAACGACAGTAAGAATCTGGGTTCATTATAACTACTATTCTCTCACTTAAACCTCTCAGAGCACATTAAAAACACTGGATGTGGTATCATCGTGGTAACGAAGTCAGTTCGTTTACCTTTGCACCCCTTTGAAATCTGACAATGTAGATGTCAGCTTAAATCAAATTTAATTAGTTTAAATTCGTTTAATTATTTTAATTTTGCAAAATTCAAAATGATAAGTGTTAACTATTAAATTGACAAATCTGTAATGAAAAAGCTCTGCAGGAAAACTGGTCTGACAAATTAAAATACAGGTTCAGAACATGAAAATAAGACATATTTCATCACTCATGTTAAAACTACAGATGTACAATGGTTAGCTGCAGGACACAACAGGGACTCCTTAATAACTTTTTGTAATATGTGCACTTTATTTTTGTTTTGCTTCTTTCATTGCTCAGGGGAAAACTAAAGTAGACTGCTGATGCTAATCTTTCACTTTTATGCTCCAGATATTCCCCAGGCCTTCTATAAACCACCCAGTGATGAAGGCTTATATTGTACATTATTCTTTATTCCCTGAGTTGTCCCATTTGGCAGACAAAACAACATTAAAATCAATTATATCATAAAAGCTTTGGCTCTTGGCAAATGCTCTCCTGATGTGGTTTCCTGTACGATGCACAGGAAAGTTGGTGTGTAGCACATTAACTGATCAGAGATATGACTTGTAAGGTTAATATTCATATTCAGGTTAATGTGCCAGCACATAAAAATGGCTTTAAACAAGAGGGGATCATTTGGCCCATCTCATTCATGTTGGTTGCAAAGAGTGAATTGATTCAAGGGGCTCATCCAGTCAGTATAAGAAAGAAGCCAGGGTATCAGATTTGTGAACAAAGAGAGATGGAACGATGACTATTGGCTCTAGATGCAGTAGGTTGGACGCTCAATCACAAATGCAACAAAGAAAGTGGGAGAAAGAGGGAGAGAGCAGAGTAAGTGCAGAGGAAAAGAGGGAAGGAATGGAAGAGGAAGTGTTCTAGCACTCCAGAGAGGGATGTCTACATCAAGAAGAAGTGTTGTGACAGGATTGGATTTCCTTTACCACCTTTACCACCTGCAATTTTCACTAGATCCAGAATCTAGGTAATTGTTATAGATTAGGAAAAGCGGTGGTTCTACTAAAGATCTCTGTGGTACTCCACTAATTACATCACAACAATGAGAGTATTCTAATTTTATCTGTACTCTCTGTTTATGCATTCCTGGTGTTAATATCTCTTCTGTTGTAGGAATATCAGGAAATACCTCAGACTTTTTCTGCTTTTTATTCTTCATTTTTCTTTTAAGGATTTAAATTTAAAACCTGTAAATAATTTCATGTGGTTTATTTTTAACTTATTGCTTTGTCCGCATTGTAGTTTTGTACTAAACACCATAAATGTTCAATATTTTTTTTATTCATTATAAAAAGAAGATTAATAAGACTTCTCTACGGATGTTACTAGTAAATAGATTAAAATTCTCTAAGTGTACCGCATGACCTACTATGAAGATCAGAGGACATGAGTGTCAGAGTGTCCACCTTCTCTCCTTGCATAACAGTACATGCTCTTGTGATAAAAAAATAAAAAGTATTGCAATTGTGTAGCTTTTATCATAAAACTTATTTATTTGTATGCTATTTATAAGCACTACCTCTATCCTAAATAAACCTGACCGCTTTAAGAAGCACAAGTGCCTTCATTGTCCTCTAAGTTCACCAATATCAGAGTCGGCACTTTCAATTTAAAGGACTCTTTTTATAAAGCTGAACACAGTATACAGTACAATTTTAGTGTGATTGCTATTGCTTCTTCAGCTTTGACAGGCACATATTCACATTCAGATTGCAACAACCTGGTATTCCTGCTGACTGCAACTTCATGCAGGGTAATGTATTTCCACAGTGGGCATGATGTCCAAATGTGTTCCAAATCTTGTTTTCAGCCACCAATTTCTGACTTGGTAGCCTGTGATATCACCTTGTGATTTAACTCTGTCACGATCCACATTCTGACCCTTTTGTATTTTAGTTCATTACGTGTACCTGCCCCCTGTTTAGTCAGCCACTATTTAAGCCTGGTCCTCCCACTATTCCTCTCTCAGCATTGGAAGATGGACGCCCAGAAACCCACCTACCAGCGGGTCCAGGAGACACCAGACGGCATAGGTTCCTCACGGTGTGCTGACCATCTGAGCCATCTGAGGGCTCAGAGTGCCTGGCTTCGTTAGCCTGGTTTTACTCTTTTTTCCTGTTCCGGATTTTAACTTTGTCTGTCTCAGATGGATCCCCCGGTTCCTGGACTCCCACCTGGGCAATCGGGTGTCTCCTTCATGGTAGGCCTCACTGCTTACACTATCTGCTTTCAGAATTCTACAGCTCGCAATTTTATTTCTTCCGCATTTTTCACATGTTGTGAAAACATGCATGTAATTATAATGTAACTAACACATACTATTCTAATGTTTTTTTGATTCCCAGACTGGTAATGCAGCTTGCTAACTACACTTACTGTAAACACGGTATACATAAAACCTTGGCTCATCTTGTTTGTGCTAACCTTATTATTTCATTCATTTACTTTTCCCTGCACAATTGTTCTATTTACTTACACTTAATGCAAACTGTCTGTGTCTATACCCTTGGATATGGTCATCTGTTAAACCAATAACTTAATAATAATGACAACAGAGCCATAGCTGCTTTATCTCACCCACCTGTTTCGTGAAAGAAGCCAGGATATCAGCATCAACAATATGGATGGGTAGTTTACTCCACTCATTTAAATTAATATATTTAAATGACAAATAATTCAAATTAATAACTTTGAGGAATTTGAATTCTTAAATCAGGTCTCCTCATAGAGCATCTAGCTGCAGTTTCTTATGTGGCACATGCAGTCATAAAAGGGATATACTTTGTTTCATGTCTGTTATGTCTTTTGTCTGGTTTGTGCATTATTTGCATGTCGTCTTTTCCTTTGTGTTGGATTATGGTTAGCCTTTAAAAGGTAAACCCAATGTCTATATACCTTTTTGCATTTTTTAAACAATTTTTGTGACAAATTGTATCAGTTTTTCTCCATGTTTTCTCATGTTATTTTTGAAAATGTTAAAAATATGTATTCTTCCCATGGTTAATGGGTACAAATCCTGTGTTGAAACACGGCTAATTTCCCACAGGACTGTGTAACGAACAGTTCTTTCCGGACGACACAGTCCGACGGAGTGGGGAAACACTAAGGAAACGTCATGCAGGAAAACGGGGCTGAAGACAAGGGGGCGTGTCCAAGGTGCGCTGGTGCACGGGGGAGGTGTGGCCGAGGCGAACAATCCGAGAGAGTAGTCCTTAGGGAATATCCAAAACGCAAGGGTAAGTCCAAAATCAGGAGATCCATCAGAAGAAGGGATTAAAAACCAAGAAGACCGGGTCGGAACCGGCGGACGGGGAACGGGAACAGAGGTTAAAACCTTAACGGGACCAGGCGCTTCCAGGTCCCGGACTCGCACGATATGGAAATCAGATGCAGAGCCCGGATGAGCGTCAGCGCCTGGCTTTTAAGGTGGGCTGGGGATAGGGAACAGGTGCAGAGAATAAAGTCTTAGTGAAAGGGCTGGAGCACCCTTAAGGAGGGAGAACTAATATCGTGACAGACTGTTCCTCTCAACCACTGATGGGGACACAGCACCCTCACGCAATGGAAAAAGAGTCTGACTCCTCTGACTCCTGACTGACACTTCTTTCATAATCTTGGAAAGTCAAGGGATATACAGTGACAGTAAGAACATGACTTACTGTATCACCCCGTTTGAAAAGAGGTGGGATAGGGGTGGTGTTGCTGTCAGCTGGGATTTCAGCAGTTTTAAAAAAGAGATTAAAAAAGTGGGTCAGCAAAGCAGATGAGCAGCAAGTTTTATAACAAAAAATAGTTAAATACTATTGGTGCCTAGCCAATTTACTAGTCTGAATCTCACAAAGCAGGGATCAATGCAGTGCAGGTCACACACACTTGCCTTCTGGCACCTTGTCAGGTCATGTGAGAGTTGTGATGCTCTGACTCTTTGGCATATTGTGCAGTTTAGACTAGTGCACAATTACAGATGGTATCTCAGCCTTTACTAAATACATCATGATCATGCAAGAAGGACTGCTGCCAATCTGTGCCAGTGGTCATTCTTTCATGCCCTTTGTGTAACAACAAATGTAGAAACAGTGAGCCCTGAGCTCAGCAATGTGGGCATCATTTCATACCCATGTCTTTACCCTCAATTCTCAACCAATTCCCATACCCTCTTCCCCAGTTAAACTCACTTCCTAGGACTTTTTAATGTAATTCTGGAAAGGTTGTGAAACCTTGTGAAATGTACTATTTGTAAAACAACTATTTATCAATGTACTAAATGTTTTGCTTATCTTGTATTTGCCTACTCTTTGCATAGTTTTTATTTTAACACTTTGCTTCAAATTTTAATTTAAGGTAGCTTTTCTTGTTGGAGTTCAAGATTTTTTTGGCCATTTATTTCCCACAGTAATTCTTCACAAGGAAATCCATTGATCTTTCATTTTTTTCTCTTGCTCAGACTCTAGTAATTGGTATTTACAATGATCACCTCATGAACCTCTGCCACTTTTATTTGATATCCATCTGCTCTTTCCTGTCTTACACAATGAAATAT